GGTTCAGAGGTTGGATCAGTGGCAGGTTCAGCAAAGGGTTCAGAGGTTGGATCAGTGGCAGGTTCAGCAAAGGGTTCAGAGCTTGGACCAGTGGCCGGTTCAGCAGGGGATTCAGGAGGGGAGTCAGCAAAGGGTTCAGAGGTTGGATCAACGTGGGGTTCAGCGGGTGGATCACAGAGTGGTTCTACGGGCGGTTCCGCGGGTGGTTCAGCGAGGGGCTCGGCAGCCGGACCAGCGGGAGGATCACAAAGTGGGTCGGCGGGGGGCTCGGCCAGTGGATCACCGGGCTCCCCGCCGCCACACGTGCTGCGGGCCGCGCCGCCAGGCCCGAGTTCCGGGGGAGGAGCCGCTCCGCCGGCCGCCTCTGCCGGCCCTGCCCGCGCCGGCCCCTCGGCAGCGGGCTCGGCCCCCTCCAGCCGCTCGGCGGCCGGGGCCGGCGGCTCCCGCGGGCCGGGCGGCGGCACCACGGGCAGCGTGACCTGCAGCTGCCGCTGCGCCCGGTGGAAGGCGGCCCGCCCGCCGCTCTCATCCACGTCGTAGGGGAGGCGGAGGCGCAGGCGGTAGGCGGGACAGCGCGAGTCCAGCCGCAGCTCCCGCCCGCGGATCTCCAGCTCCGCCTGCTCGGCGGAGCGCAGCAGCGGCAGCTCCACCGTCACCACCAGCTCCCGCGGTACCGGGCTGGGCGCGGAGTCGCGGCAGTGCCGGTAGTCCTGCAGGTCCACGTAGGAGCGGTGGCGGATGCTCCAGCGCGGTGTGGTGGGGCCGGAGGGCGGCGGGGGCGCGGCGGGCGAGGAGCCGGCGGCGGGCGAGGAGCCGGCGGCGGGCGNGCGGCGGGCGAGGAGCCGGCGGCGGGCGAGGAGCCGGCGGCGGGCGGGAAGGGGAAGGGCGGCAGCGGGGACTCGTCGTCGTCGGGCGGCTTCGGGGCGCCGCCGGGCAGCGGGGAGCGGATGACGGGCGCCTGCGGGGCGCCCTTGTAGGAGACTCCTCGCAGGACCGTGGCGTTGTTGCGGTCCAGCCGCACCCCGCAGCGGCTCTCCACGGCCTCCAGCGCCGTGTCGCGGAGCAGGCGGCGGAAGCGGGCGCTGCGGGCGGCCAGGCGCAGCGCGGCGGGGTGGAACACCACGTCGTACAGGAGGCGGCGGCGGCCGCCGGGGCGCAGCTCCTCGCGGCCCGGGGCCAGGCTGTAGGGCAGCTCCCAGCGCTGCCCGCCGCGCTCGGCGCGGGCCCGCGGCTCCCCCATCAGCGCGTTGCTGCAGACGTTGATGTAGCAGCGGCGGGAGCCGTCCTGGCTGGTCCGCAGCACGAAGCCCGGAGTCGGGTGCACGAAGCGCACCTCCACGCCGCGCTGCCGCTCCAGCGCCGCCACCTCCTCCTCGTACAGCCGGCGCTGCTCGGGGTCGGTGAGCTCGGCCGCGTACTCCGCGAACAGCGCGCGGAATTTCTCGTCGCGGAAGGCGCGCTTGAGCCGCTCCGCCTCCTCGGCGCTGAGGTCCAGGTCCTGCAGCCGCCCCGCGCCCGCCATGGCCCCGGCACGGCTCGGCCCGGCCCGGCCGGGAGCGCGGCTGTGGGGACGCCGAGCAAGATGGCGGCGGTTGCTGTGGTGACGGTAAACAAGATGGCGGCGGCGCGGCGGTTGCCATGGGGACGGCAAACAACATGGCGGGCTGTCCCTCAGGGCCGAGGCCTCTCCGTCCCGGCCTCGCCTTTTCCCTCCCCTCGGTGGCTTCCAGCCAGCACCCCTGGCATCAGCAGGTCTGGTTTTCCACCGTCATCTCGTTATCTTTCAGCAAAGTGTATGTTCCCTCCCCAGGCCACACTCTGAGCTACACTGCCATCCCCTCACAGGGCATTTGTAAATCCTCAGCAGACCCAGCTTCCCTCAGAGCCCGTATCCCACTGTCCCTCCTCCTTCCTGCTGTGAAAAACAAGGTTCACTTTCCCGGTAAAATTTAAAAGTTTAATAAAGGACAGTAGGATACAAAAATAAAGCAAAGGTAACAGCTGGGTGCTTGGCATTCAGCCAAGAGCACACCTGCTATTTCAGAGACAGCCTTTATGTAACTTTTCTATTGCATCAGCCTACTGCATATTCATGAACAATTATGTATATTTAAATTTTCCCCAAAGTAGTTTACATGTTCTAAGAACTGTTTAGCATTGGGTCCACCTTTCTAAAGCATGCACATTTCTTGTCTGTGGTTTTAGTCCACTCTCATCACCACCTCACTCTATACTTTGGTCTGTACTTTTTACAGACAGGAGGTGTTGATTGTAGTAGGGGTCTTCATCACAAGTTCATTGGGTGTTACCCCAACTAAGTAGTTTAATTATCACAAGCATAACTATATCAGCCATTTCACTACTATGTCTAAGTTTAGTTAATAGCAGAAATAAAAGCTGTATAGCAAAGTTACTTCACAGCAGGCACTGGCACACCTGGTGTGGGCACTTTGCTCTGCCCTCCATGCCCACAAACACCTGGAGCAGATTTTGGCTCAGTTTCCCTTTTTCCCACTTCCCTCTATCAGGATTTCCTCCTCCCAGCCTTCTCCAGAAATTCTAAAGGATCATGTCCTTGCTTTTACCACTCCTTGTCCTGTCTGCAGAACATCATCTTCAAATTGCTGCCATTATAAAACACCTCACAGATCTTTCCTAGCTGTTTCCAAGACAAATTAAAATACTACACCCATTTCCAGGCTCCCTTGCAGATAACCAGCTATCCAAGTTCTCCTTATCTTTAATTCTTTTTTTAAAAACATGCTCCTTCCCTGTTTGATACAGCTGGTTCTTCCACTTAACCTTTTTTTTTATGCTTTGCCCATTATTTTTCATTCTGACGTCACAATTTATCTAAACTGACACCAATGTCTTTTCCTGTAAAAGTTTATTTGTGTACAAAACAAATCAGTTTTGAAAAAGTCATTAATACATCACAAAACTTAGGCATGTAAAAAAAACCACACTTGGCTTCCCATGGGTTCACTGCCTTTTTTTTAGTGCCACAGAAATTCAGAGTCCTTGAAGTTTGCTGAAAATACCAAAGAAAAACAGTATTTAAGTTTTTTTTTAAATAGTTCATAATCCTCATAATGTTCTTAATTTCTTTATCTAAGAAAGATTTTATAATTATCTAAATTATTTAAAGACCTAAAGTATCTAATGGTGTGATATTTTTTATATTCAAGTAGAAGTTAAATAGGCTGACCCATTCCCTGAGAAGGTTTCTTCAACAAGAAGATTTATGCTTATCTTAATGGGTTATACCATCATTATTTTAAACAGGTAAATTTTCATCAATTTTAAGCCTTTTGATACATTTTAATACTTTTTTTGCTGTTGCAACTGGCTTTTTTTCCAGTCAGGGGAATGAACAAGTGCAGATTTAAAAATACAAGAAATCAAAGCCTGAAAGTGGCTTCTGGGCTTGATGATTATCACAAAATGAAGCAAAAATTGTTCCTAAATTTAATTAATGTAGCAACCATCATCCCCAGAAATAAATCTGCTTCCCTATTAGGTCTCTATCACTGAAAATCAGGCAGTGCAGTCACTTCCTTTTACCTTTGGATTGTGCTTCCCATCACTGCTATTTGTAATTTTTAAATTTATTGCTTTAGTTCTGGGCATTTGGATTTGTTACACTGCCTAAGTATGAAGTGTAAGTTAAGCTGCTGGAACATTCAAATATTACACATTTTCTGTGTTTTTTATCTTATTTTTATGATAATCAGAAACTCAACACAAAAGAAAAACCTATTTACCTGTCTTCAACTGTCTTGTTGGAGGGGTAAAACACCTTGAAGGAAAATCCACTTCTAGGAAACGAACCCTATGAAGGAAAAGAGGGAAAAAATCCACGTTTGTGTGAGGCAAATGCCAGTGCAGGGAGTGAGGAAGGTGGGATGGGAGTGCTGGGAGCTCTTACAGGGTTGATGCAGAGGCAGTCGCTGCTGGTGACAGTGAAGGGGTCGTGTTTGTCAGCAGTGACCAGCAGGTCTGGCAGGGGATAAACCCGCAGGGAATAATCGTAGGCCCAGAACACGGGGCTGACGTACAGCGGCAGCGGGCTCAGGTGCCCCTGGGATAAAATGGTCTTCACAAACTGCAACAACGACAAAAAAAAAAACACAAAACAAAACCCACAAACACTTGGTTTGAAGCATTTATCTCCTGGGATAAAGTGGTCTTCACAAACTGCAACAACGACAAAAAAAAAAACACAAAACAAAACCCACAGACACTTGGTTTGAAGCATTTATCCCCTGAGGTAAAATGGTCTTTACAAACTGCAAAAAAAAAACCCCACTGATGTCTTGTGAAACCTCCACTAAAGCAGGGGTTGGATGGAGTTCCAGAATAAATCAGGGATTTATTAAAGGATCTCCTCCATGGATCCACCTTGGGCAGCACCAGAGCCCAGCCAGGGCTGCACCCAAATGACCCAAAATGGTCCCAAAATGCACGAGCGCTCCCGGGGCTCTCCCTGGGATCAGTTCTGCTCCATTGGCACCTTGGAGTTCATTGTCCCATTCCAGCTCCAGCCCATCAGTCCCACCCTGCTGGTTTTTCTCTCTCCAGCCCACGCTGTTTGTGCTCCTGGGCTGAGGTTTGGATCATTTGTCCTTGGTGCCCAGCTGGAGCAGGAATTGTTTTGTGTCCCTGCTCTGTGCACAGAGCTCAGCATCCCCTGATCTGGAGCCCAGACCCACACACTGAAGCAGCTCAGAATCTGAAAAGCTAAACCTGAGGCATCACCATAAACACTTGGTTTTAACCATTTGAAGCATTTCACCCCTAGGATAAAATGGTCTTTACAAACTACAAAAAATCCTCCATGTTTGCTGCAAGCTCAGTTCATCCCTGCATGTGTCAGTGTGTGTTAATAAAGCTTTTTAAACCTGGAAATGTTTGGGGTTTTTTGTATCTCATTCCTTCTGATTATTAATGATTCCTAGAGTAAAGCAGTGACTCTCCTCCAGCACCGAGCTGCTCTTTCCTTTCTTCACTTTTGGGGCTTTTAATACTCAAAGGCTTTTTTAAGGCACATCAGCCAGGATTTGAAGATGTCACAATTATTTCATCAATCAGATTCCCCAGGAGAATCTACTTACCTGCTCCTCCAGCCCAGAAAGTACCAACACTGCCACAATTCCCATTTTTTGGTTTTTATTTTCCTTACTGCTTTCCAGTTAACCACATGACCCATACTAAAAAAGTCTTCCCTGAACTGAATGAATAATTTGATTCCCAGATGATTTTCCTTTCTTCATGACAAAATTTCTCTCTCTATTGTTTTTTCACACTGATGGCTGAATTAAAATAGGCAAAAAGGCTGAGGAAAAGTGGAGTATGCAAAAAACAACCTGCAGAAAGTGCTGCAATTCTACATTTCCTTCCTGGGAAGCCCTGGATGAGGACAGGGAAGTGTCAGGAATGCAAATGTGCCCACAAAACCAAAGTACCTCATTGTTCACAGAGCCACTGAGCTAAAACAACTTTCTGAGGCAAGCAAACACAAAAACTCCTGTAAAATAAATAAAACCAGACTCCATCCATCACTGCAACGAGCCAGGACTACCTGGACTGTTCTCATCCAATTATTTCAGTAAATCCCATCAGCTCCTGCTGTGGATTCATTATGTGGAACCACAACTCAGAGCACACTGCTGATGTGTGAGAAGCAGAATTTCAATTTCGAGTGAGGAGACAAAGCAAGCAGATGAATTTTGGAGGAAGTGACTTGCTGCTTTACTGCAAATGGCACTGGGTAACAGATGAAATCTTTAAAAAATGGTAATTTGCATTGAAATTTGCCTTTAGGAATTAGTGTTTCTTGGCAGGACATTGATGGGCAGCTCCAGTGTGACAAAATTACTCAATCCCACCTTAAAGTATCACGGTTTGAGTTATTTTGCTGTCAAAATGTAAAGAAAAATAAGAATACTAAATGTATAAATTCTTCTTACAACCCCTCTGTGTTACTCATGAAATGTGCCACAAGAATGAAGATCAGAGCCCCCAAAATCCAGCCCTGCTGATCCACAAAATCAAAAATCTTGGCAAAAAGTGGTGAACTCCACTCACTCACATGGTTGGGAATGTCCATGGTGCTGTTTGGGAAACGGACACAGTTCCTACACATTTTGTTGACCAAATCTTCCCGAAAAATAATGATTTCTTGGGTGCAGTATTGAACCCTGAGTGGGAAAGAGCAGTGAAATTAATTAAGGTTAACCTAAAAATAAGGAAGATTCATTAGAAAGTTGATCTCCCTCTAATACAGACAATTGAATGAAAATAATACTTTCCCTTATGATGCTTTTGAGCAGGATTCTTATATTCAATATCATGTTTTTTAGCACTACTTCCTTTCTTCACTGATTTTTTAAGCCTTACTGTATTTAAAACTTTTCACAATTCATGCAAGTGAAAAATTCTATTAATCTGAAAATTTTAAGGCAATTTTTCCCCAGAATCTGTAGGCTTTGAAAATTATATTTGCACATAATTTTGTTTTAA